TAGTTTAGTTAAATTTTTCCCATCCCTGGTGTTCAGACCTGGTGAGAGTCCACCCCTCCCACCTCCGGGCAGGGGCGGGACCAGTTGACGTGTTGACACCCGTGTCAGGGGCGGATCCAGGCGAACGTGTTGACACCCGTCGCAGGGCAAGTCCACCCCTCCCACCTCCGGGCAGGGGCGGGACCAGGTTGAGACCCGTCGCACCCCCATCCTCGATAGGTTTTGTTAGGCCCCATCACTTACGCCCCTCGGGCAATCCTCGATGGGTTAGGTTACGCCATCATCCCTTAGGTCAATCCTCGATAGGTTATGTTAGGGGTTGATAAGACCCACCCCTCCGACAATCCTCGATAGGTTAGGCCCCATCACTTACGCCCCTCCGCCAATCCTCGATAGGTTAGGTTAGGGGTTGATAAGACCTAGGTTCTGTTAGGGGCTCAAAAGACCCACCCCTTCGTTAGGTTAGGTTATGTTAGGGGCTCAAAAGACCCACCCTTAGGTTGGGTTAGGCTCTGGATAGATGGCAAAATGGGGAACCGGCAGATTGGGGCCATGTCAGATTGGGGGATAAAGATGGCGGATGGCCCTAATGGGGGATCCTTACTACTGACGGATTACAAACGGAGGGCAAATCGCTGACATACTGGCTCCAGCCTCACCGTACGAAACACCGCACTTCCCTTACAAGCCTAAACTAAGCTCCGTAGAGCGAAACGGGTTAGTGAGATGTGTCAGGATAACATACTCTGTTGAATTTTGAAAAAAAATAATTCGAAAAGTAACTTTTGAACGGCTATAGCTAAAGAAAATTTAACATCACCATCGTGCTCAGAGTGAAAAGTTAACGCGGGGTACACATGCAGCAATCTTCGTCTTGTTAGCCGGCAGAATGCAGCCAGGGTGTGGTGGGTTGCCTACGGTCCCCATTCTACTGGCGTGCACATTGGTGAAGTGGGCTACACAACATGGTTGCCACAACTCTGGAAAACCTTGAAAACCTGGAAAACTCAGGGAAATATAAAACAGTCAGGGAAATCAGGGAAAACTCAGGGAAAATGAAAAAAAGTCAGGGAAATTTGTTCTGATCGGTCCGCAAACTGCATTCTATTCGCTATTTAGGTCAAACACACATTTTGACGTCCAAGCGAGGTGTTTTTGACCCGAAATTTTTCGCGCTCGCTTCGCTCGCGGTCTTTTTCTATATTAGGACTACGGGCTTTTAGCAAGTACGCTTAAATGCTTGCATGCAGGGGGGATTGGTTGCCCCTGCACTTCGCCAGGAATAGTGCTCAAATCTCAGGGAAATTTAGGGAGAATGTGTCTGGAAATCAGGGAAAACT